TCTAGTTTCAAGAGAGGGCTAGCAATTACTTTGCCTTTAGTTGGGAAGTCGGAACAACTGTGTTTTATCCTTAGTTCTGTCATGCTGTGGGTGTGTGACACTGGCCACATCATTTCCTCTCTGAGCCTTAATTTTCTTGTCAGCATAATAAGGATGTTGGATAAATGACCTCAATTTTACCTTCCTGTTGGATTATGATTCTATATCCTGTATTCTTTGGTGCGGATACAAGTAGACCATTTTTGTAGAATGTAGGGCTCGTGTTTTACTATGGGAAGAAACAAGCCCAATTTGGGGTAGTCAAGAGCCGACTCTTCACTTCATAGTACTATTTAATGAAGCAAAGCCCCCTCCCTAAATAGGGTATTCAAAGTTTAAATTTAGAAAAACTAAAGTATTTGGAACTGTTTATAGTTTGCTCAACACGCACCATGGACTGGAAAGCAATTCTTTTGTGGTGGTTGTGAAATTTCCGTCTAAGACTTTGGGTCATCCTCTGATATTTAGCATTTTATTACTTCATAAACATGGAGAGTTCTTTTCATCAGTTTTTCATCGGTCTCAGTTGTATTTCCCTCCTCCTGTCTGTGGCTGGGGCCATTGTTTTGGTGGGGCCATTGTGCATGATGGTGTTGAATAGGACTGCTTTGCAGTGATGGCTCAATATGTGCCCCATAATTAACCTGTCAGTGGGTTGTTCACAAAAGTGTTTCTTCAGAATCTCCTTGGATGAATCACACCTTGTAAACTGAAATTATCATTGTTTCTCTTCTGGGAATCATTGAGCCTTAATTTTATTACCATGCTGTGATTATCAGGTGACTGTGCTTCTGCATCTGTATTCCTAGATGGTTGCAACCAGGGAGTTGGGAGCACACCCATTGCTCCTCCAAAAACAAATATCTTTTATTAAGAGGCTATTAGGATTCTCTTTAAAAGTGTCCCAATGGAAATTTGAATTATTAAACAAAAATCAGAGAATAGTAGATCTAGAAAAGCTTCTCTAAAGCATCTGTTCCAAAAACCTCAATGTGGAGATGGTACGATTGAGGTTCCCTGGGGGATTGGACTTGTCTATGGTCTCCCAGTGGGTGAGAGCCACAGTCTGGGGGCCCAGGTCTCCTGACTCCCAACCATGATCTTTATACTCATGTTTTCTTGGCTGAAATGGGAAGATGAAGATCACACAGATGAAAAGAAGGTTATAGAGCAAGATTTTTTGTAGGTCATATTACGGTAACATCTGCCATCACTAAATATGTTTAATGACGTAGAGACTCTCTAGCCTAGAGTAACTTGGAGTGTATTTTTTGTTAAGTTTAGCCTTCACCAAATATTAATAGTAGAATTTTCAAAACACAGAGAGAAACCTGAAAGTGCTGAATCAAAGCATCAGGAATCTGAGAACAAATCTCTCGTGGATTTTTTTGGGAAGTCACAACCTTTTTAGGTTTTCTCAATAAATATCAGTCTTGATGGTCTACCTCTCTAAGGTGGGGGTGAAAGGAAATTAGATGAGGTTTCCAATGTCAGAAATAATCATCAATAAAGGAGGCAGAATATACAAAAACTGTCCACAGATCCACAGAGAAAACAAACTAAAGCATAATGCTGTTGGATATCATCTTGATCCTTTTTCCTTGAAAACTAGGTTGGATTGTACTTGATTTAATCCATATTAAGTAACTTTTAAACATTTCATCTCACATTTTGTTTTTCTTTGTCTTGGCTCTGCATTTTGTTGTATTTGTGTTGAAACCCTGTGAAAGATCTCTTCTGGCAGCCCCTCACATGGATTTGGAAATTGAAAAGTACTGTTCAGTTTTGGTTTTAGGAAATACTTTCTCAGCCTTATTCTTTCCTAGGCCTTTTGCCTTTTAATAAATATACTACATAGCAGATGCAAGTGCCAAGTAATTTGACAAGATAATTACTATTTGTTATTAATTCTCATTAATACGTCATATGCATTCACCAACCCTTCCAGACCTGACATTTTATGATTATATATCTATTGTAAGGTTTCTAGATTAAAGAGTAGAAAAATAGTAAATATAATTGGGTTTTTTTTTTAAAAGGACTTTTGCAAGGAATATGAAGCACAAGTGAGGAACGGAAGACTTTTCTGTACACGGGAGAGTGACCTAGTCCGTGGCCCTGATGGCAAAATGCATGGCAACAAATGTGCCCTGTGTGCTGAATTTTTGTGAGTATAGAAATGATTTCTTTAGAGTGATGCAAAAGGCGGAA